ATACTATAAGTCACATATATCCTTTTTAAATTGATAGTGGGAGGTCTGGGAAGGGAGAAGTGCTAAATATTTTATTGTATTTTTATATACTCCTTTTTTTGTTGTTGTTACCGGGGATCGAACTCAGGACCTTGCACTTTCGAGGCAGGTGCCGGAACCACTGAGCTAAATCCCCGGCCCTTTATTGTATTGTTATAAAATCTACCATAGGGTTCTCTTTTCCTTCAGTCCAAAGGAGAGTGATAATTGGAGTAACACTATGGGATACCTATAAATGCGGGGTTGAAAAAGCAAATTCCTCAGGAAAATGAATTTTTCGAAAGCTTAATGATTTTGAATTGGTTTGGGAGTTGTGTTAAGAGTACAAAAACAGACTGCTTATGATAGGAAGAGCTGTGTGAACCGAATCTATTAAGGATTTGGAGAGCATCTGGGGGCAGTGAACATTTAAGTAAAGGTAGCCTAAACTTTAAAATATTTGCAATAAATAAGATTTAAATCTAATCTAGTCATTTCTTTTAACCTTGCATTAATGTAGATGGTTCACATAATTATTATCATTGTTATTATTATTATTTTGGTTTTTTGAGATGGTCATGTCATGAAGTTTAGGCTGGCCTCAAACTCATGGCAGTCCTCCTGCCTTAGCCTCCCAAGTGCTGGGATTGAAGGTGTGCACCAACATACCTGGAAGTCCACATCAATTTTTTTAAGCCACAAATATGTGCCATGCAGAACCAGGGCCAAGAGTCCATCAGAAATAATTTATGGGATCAGAGGGCTGATAACAGCTACCAAATTTTGTTTAGGAATTTGCCCTCCATCTCAGCAGGAAAACAAATATAAAGGCAGTGACTAGAATGAACAAAGAGGAACTTGCAGCATAAGCCTATCTAAAAACATTTTCTTCCAAGCAATATACACCATTTCTGCCTGTGCTCCGCTGTTGACAAAGCCATTAGAAAAGCAAAGGGAAACAAAGAACAGTACCCACAAAAGAGCCCCCATGGTAGGACCAAAGAAAGGGAGGAAGAAACAGGGCCAGCAAGACATTATCCACCCAATTTTTTTTAACAGTATTAAGCCACACAACCGAAGTCACCTAGTTAATGGAAAACTTACCTGGTTTTATCAGTCCTGGGGTATAAAGTGCTAATGTAGATGCTGATGGCACAACCAACCTAATACAAGCTATAATCTATATAATAACTTTTAGTCACTTTCCTGTCACTGGGACACATTATCCAACACCCACAACTTAAAGGAGGAGAAGTTTATTTTGACTCACAGTTTCAGTCCATGGTCACTCAGCTCCAAGGCAGAAACGGCATGGCATTTCATGGTGGATGAAATGCTGCTCATGTCATAGTGGCCAGGAAGTAAAGAAGAGAGGAGCCAGGGATAAGAATACACTCTTCCAAGTCACATCCCCAGTGACCTACTTCTTTAGGCAGGGCCCTACCTCCTACCAGCACATTCAGTGTCTGAACTCATCAGTGGGTCAATCATGGATGAATATAGCGCCCCCATGATCCAATCACCTTCCACACACAGTAGAATTTTAAGTGGATATCTTAGATCTAAACCAAACAATAACTGTGAAATATCTGGGCCAGGAGTGAAATAGGGCAATAGTTCTATTTCTTTGTAATTTTCTTTTTTTTCCACACTAACACTTCAAAAAGAAAGCTACATAGAAGGGCAGCTGGGACACTATACGTTTGTTTCCCCAGAAGCTGTCTCCCTCCAATAAATGATCATAATGCTAAGAACTTTGTCATGTCTATATCAAAGCCAGAATTGCTCTTTTTAAGAAAAATTTTACATTTTTTTCTGGTTTAAGGATTTAAAAACTACCCTGAATTTCATCAAGGCTTGATGTCCTTCTGGTTTACAGGGAATACAAATGATGGAGAAGTAGTTCTCAGACTTGAACTTGTATCAGGATCAGAATCTCAGTAATAAAATTTGAGTTAAAATAAAGCCAGAAACAATGTTCTGGGGAGCTAAATCAGCATCAATAAAGCAAACTTGATGTCTACTGTAATGCTGAAAAAATGAGAGAGATGAAAAAAATAAAACAACTACCACAGATAATTGTTCTTAAAAAAGAGATCAGAACAAATGGAGCAGAAACAATTCTTGAAGATAGAATGGATGAAAACATTCCTGAATTGAGGCCAAAATATGTAGATAAAAAGGACTCAAAATCTTAACTAGACAGAAAAAGCATTATTCATTCTTAAATTGCAATAGTATCAATATGGCCAGAGAGAGGAGGAGAGGAACTAGAGATAAGCATGAACCAAAGAGTAAAGAGCTTTATATACCATGTGAAGAAGTTTCTCTGCAGAACAGGAAGCAAAGTCATTTATGAAGAGAGGAAAAAGATAATTGATGTAGGGCTTAAAGAAAGCAGCAAGGGATTGTGGTAATAGTGACTGGAAATAAGACAGCACATAAACTGGTCATATATAAGGATTACTAAGAGGCAGCTAAGCTCTTCACTGTGGCAAGTATCCATAAATTTGTAGTGGCATCATTCTTCCACAATTGTGTCACTTTCCCCCACACAGTGTTTGGAAATGCAGACAGCTGTAGAAAAGAAAAATATAGATAACTGTGATGTTTTAAGGTGGTTGTTTGATGTTAGGATGATGGCAAAAGGCAAGACAAGAGGCCTCTCCTCACAGGAGTGGTTGGAGTCAAAGGCCACGGGCTTTATTGAGGCTGATTGCCACACCTTTATTGAGCATAGGTTCATGAGGGATGAGACACTAAAGGAGATATAGCACAGTAAGGATGAGGATTGTGGGTCCAAATAAATGGGATTTGAAAATATAAGATTTTAGAGATGAGGAGAGTAAGGTGATTGATTCATATCTAGATTTTCTAGAGTATGAGACTGGAAATGGATGGACAAAGTAAAGGTGAAGGTCATCTGGGTTGATGGAAGATGAAACATGGATGGGCCATGCACGGTTTCATTGGGATGATGGCATTAACTCCGGTGGAGAGGAAAACTGTCCAGAGCAATTCTAAATAATTTTGGGGAAAAATCATTTGATTAGGCCTAGTTCTTCTGCCTACAGGCCAGCTATGGCATGTTGAGACATAACTCCATCTTCGCCTCCAGTCACAGCTAAGACCTCAGTGGTCTGGTGATGCTGTGATGCTCCAGAACCAGATTACACCAGGTGAAGACATCCTGGGGGGAACAAAATCTTCATCCGCATAATTGCTCATTGTTCTAGGACTTTTGCCGCTGCTGCTGCTGCCCTCTGAATCACGTTTTACATTTGTTACTCTCTGATATACAGAACTCTGTGCCCGGAGTCATCTGTTACATTAATTTTTCTCCTGATGTACCGAATAAAAGTGGCAAACTTGGGGTGGGGGGAGGCGGCTTTCGTTTTTGCTGCCCAGAGCAGCACTGATTAGGCCCGAAGGTCAGCTTCTTCTCAAAGTCTCATCTTTTCTATCTTTCCTGTATAATAAGTTAATTCGCCTTTTGCTGTCGTGGCTCGCAGGAGACTAGGACTTACTGCAGAGGTTCTAGAAACGTCCCCTTTCCCTGTTCCCTACAAAAAAACGATGCTAGCGCAAGGACCCGAGTTTGATCCCCCGTACCAAAAAAACCCCAAAAAACCAAAAAAACCCAATGCTGGGCAGTTAGTAGGTGACAATAACAAGGGAAGGTAACCGGTAGTACCAACAGGTGGTGTGGATCTTGAGAAAGATATTTTGCAAGTGGCAAAAGAGTATCAAAGTTGTCAAGTGGGGAAGTGCCAAGAGTGAAGAGGAAATACTGCCTTCGAGGCTTGCGGATGGAGTATGGGAGAAATCGAGAGTACTGTCGACAGGTTGAGGGTGTAGTTCAGTGGCAGAGCACTTGCCTAGCATGTGTCCTGTGCATGGCCATGGGTATAGTCCCCCAGCAGAGGAGGGGATGGAGGGGGCGGGGAGAAGGGGGGGGAGGGACCTTGCGCTTGTGAGGCAGGCGGCGGAACCACTGAGCTAAATCCCCGGCCCAGATTGATTTTGATTTTGAATTGCACACTGGACTTATTTGGGAAGTCCAGAAGGGAGGTTTTGTTTTCTCAGTACAAGCCTCATTTGAGCAGCCATGGGAAATGGGTTCAAGGTTAAAGGAATGGTTAGAGATTGAGTAGGCAGGGAGAGAGGTCACAGAGGAGCAGGTTCAGGTGAGCTGGTTCTAGAAAGGCTCTGGTGGGTCAAGGCAAGGACAGGATGTGCTCATCCATGTGGCCGCCCATGTGCTCAGCTGCCACCTCTGACTCCTGGTGCGTCCACCTGCAAAAGGATGGAAGGCTCAGGCGACCAACATCCTGCCCCTGACTGAAGGGCTGACCTCCAATCCTTGGCCCTCAACCACCAGGATCCCTACACCTGGTAAGTTCAGCATGTTTCTTTCTTGCCGGGCAGAGGACGCCAGCAGGCGCAGGCGCTCTAGGTGGACTGTGGCAGAGGAAGCAAGCTCCGCGGACAGCTGCAGAGGCGAGAACTGCCGGAAGAGGACGCAGGCGCTCTGGCCCGAGGAGCTTGGGCGGGGCATTTTCGCTGGAAGAGTAGAAGTGCAGTTGGATAAACCAAGCGGAGAGCGGGCCGCGGCAGTGGGCGGGGAGGAGGCGGTTCCGGAAGGAAGTGGTTCCGGGTCTCGGGGCCCGGCGGAGACACTTGTGGTCCAGTTGCTGTGAGAGGCGACCGCCTAGAGAGGGGCGAGGCCTCGAGGGCCGGCGGCGGCGGCGACATCCTGGCCGGGTAAGCGGCCTTGGCGAGGAGCTCGGGCCCCGCAGGGAGGGCGTGTCCGTCACCTGGGAGGGGCGGTTCTGGGGGTGGCGTGTGGGGCGGAGGGGAGGCTGCGGCGGTCCGGATTTGGCTCTCAGGGGACAGCCACCCCTTAGGTCCCTCGGCCGGCTCCTTCCCGCGGAGCAGTGGGCCACCTCTGGCTCCCGGTTGGTGGCCTCCCTGCGTCCCTCCGGCGCGGCGACCTGGGCACCTGCTCCCAGGATCCCAATCCTCCCCCGCCTTCGGGCAGGCTGTTGTTCCCGCGGCTCCGAGGAGCGTCTGTCGTTGGGGCGGAGGGGAGGCGGTGTCCTTGTTCCGGAGGAGGCGGCACGGGACGCGTTACCCGCGGGACCGGAGCCGAGCAGCTCCCGCTTTGTCCTCCCGAGGCGCTCCTCCTCGCCGCGGCATCTTTCCCAGATAACGTCGAGAATGAGTAGTGAAGGCTGGGCTTTATTCTGCATTGCAAAGTAAAACTTGCCTTTTTTAAAATGTCTGAAAACTGGCGAATCTCCTCTGCTTGTCTGGGATGTATTTAGGAAACTGGGCCACTATAGGGACTTCTCTGGCAGTAGGTCGGGAGGGAAAGAAATGGGAGAGAAACGTAACCCCCTGTATATTTTCCTTTTGAAGAGCTTTCCAAGCTGCCTCTTAGATGATTGCTTTTCTTTTCTGGATCAAATTACTAACTATACAGGTACAAATCAGGGTCTCTCTGGCTGCTTCTTCCCCAAAGGCAGCCTTTTTAGTATTTTTTTTTTTCTAAATATGAACAGGTCCAAACGAAAGAAGGATTTGAAAAGATTTGGCTGTGGATTCATAAAGAGTGCTTTATTTAATTTTTGGGACCGAGTCTCTCAGTGGTGTCTAAGTTGGTCTCGAATTTATGGGTTCAAGCGATTTGATTCTCCTGTCTCAGCCACGCGAGTAGCTGGGACTATACAGTACAGTTGGGTACAGTTGTGTGTTGTGCTAGAGTGCTTTATTTTTCAATGGTATTTCTTTTTTAAAAAATCCATTAAGTTTATTGGTACATTTTAGGTATACAGTGGGATGACATTCATCTTTGGGAATTTGTACCTTTACATGGTGTATTTTGGTTATTTTTTCCGCATTCCCCTGCTCTCCCTTCAATCCCTCTACCCCTCCCTATTTACAAATGGTAATGGTGTAGTAATGCTTTATTTATTCCCTCTCCCCTTAGTTAATTGAAGGACCCAGGGCCTTGAGCTTGAGCATGCTAGGTAAGTGCTTCACCCCTAACCACACCCCCAACCCCAGTAATACTTTATTTTAAATGGTATTTTTAAGAATGACCACTACAGTTTTCACTTGAAATCCCTGTAGTTTCACAGTATCCTCAAGAAATCTTCAAAACGTCTTCTTAGAAACATTTATATTGTAAGAAACATTTAGTAAGCCATTCACATGCAAAAATCACAATGAAAATGCACTCTGACCATTCCAGATAACCGTTGTGAATATGGTTATTCACGTCCGGTCTTCTGTGCTGAGATGAATGCATGAGCTTTTCTAAAGTGAATTCTCTTTTGTAATCTCTTTTTTTTTTGTAATCACTTTTTATCCAACGACATAACATGTCATTACATGACTATAATAATTTAGTTGCTTAGTCCCAGTTTTCCACTACTTAAAGACATTGTTGGAGAAATGTAAAGCCTTTATATCCATGATTATTTCCTTAATGTACATTCCTAGATGATGGAGTTACTGGGCAGAGTATACTCATAAAGGATTTTACAAAAAATGTGAATTGCTAAGTTTCCCTCTGGAAAAGGTATGCTATTTGCATTCCTACCAACAATCTTCGAGTGACCTTCCCCACATCCTAGCAAAAGGCAATTTTTATTTTTTATTTTTTTTTGTTGTTTAACTGATTTTAATAACATGACATAAAGCCCCTAGAATTGATATAATCATTATGCAAAATACATAGATGAATACTGTCTTTTTTTAATATAAAATAAATAAGCAAGACGTGAAAATAGGCAAGTTTCCACTAAATAAATGAAAACTTTAAAAAAAGAAAGTTTTCCTTTCCATGTCATTTGAAGGGAAATTATCATTTTAAACAATATTCAAGTTTATTAAACAAATTTAAAAAGGTATTATAAAATGTTTAACTTTCATCAGCTTCAAGGTTTATGTTGCTGCCGAATTTTGCATATAACTGAACTTTCAAATCTGCTAACACCCGCTGAATTGATTCTACTCTGGATTCTAAGGCATCAATTTCTTGCAAATTTTTCTTTGCTTCTTCTAACATGTCTTGTGTTTCTTCTTGAGAATGGCTAATGAAAATGTCACCAATCTGGTAAGGTATCATTAAGCTGTCATCATCTGTGAGCATGATGTCGTCACAAGCATCTTTAAATTCTGGAGTTGTTTCTTTGTTATTTCTATTTCTTCCTTTAGCTCTGTGATTCTACTCGTATTCCGTGCAAATTTATCTTTTGTTTATCTTCGAAAATAACATTGACATCTTCTGCAGCAATTTTATGTATCACCTAAAAATACATATTAAAAAGATGCCCTGAGTTTGATCCCCAGCTGAGCTTCTCACCAGCTGAGTCGATACAGCACTAGAATCGCTGTGTCCGAGTTTCCCCATCCTCCATGGATGCACGGAGGACACAGGAGCTAAGGACCGACGGGGTCGGGCGCGCGCGGGATGCGGGGCCTGCACGCCCCTGCTGCTCTGGCAGAGACGGCCCCAGCCCCTGAGGGTCCCGGCCCTGGTGCCTGGCCCCGCGGGAGGCCCACGGAGACGCTGGGGCGCCGGGGCCCCCCGCGGAGCTGCCCGCAGGGTCCGGGACCTCGGCCGGCCCCAACCCGGGCCTCGGGGCCGCGTGCCCCCCCACCCCACCCCGGTCCCGCTCCGGAGCCCCCGCGCCCCAGCCCGGCCGCCACCCACACCCCGGCAATTTTTATTTTTTAGTCAGGGTCTCACTGTGTATTTCAGGCTGGCCTCAAACTCACTATGTAGCCCCGGCTGGCCTCGAACACAGAGTAATCCACCTGCCTCAGCCTCCCGGGTGCTGGGATTATAGGGATGCGCCACCATGCCCACAGCTGCAAAAGGCAAAATTTAAAAGATTTCTGTAGAAACATTTTTGACCCATTTGTGTTCTCTCTGACCAAGTACCAGTATCCTCTGGTTTTCATTTTTTTCTTATTTATAAATAGCATTCAACTTCTCACCTCTTATTCCGCCAGTTTAGTAAAGAAAGGTTATCTAAGTGAACAAGAGATTTGAAGTTAGGACCTTCTTGAATTCTAGTGTATCTGATTACCTTGAACAAATTGTTCAAATTTTTTTTTTTTTTGGTACCGGGGATCGAACTCCGGTCCTTGTGCTTGCGCAGCAGGCGAAACCACTGAGCTAAATCCCCGGTCCCTACTTAAATTTTCTAAGGTACTGTTTCCTCACCTGTGAACTAGGGATTATAATGTGTTTGTCTTAATCCTCTTATAGAGTGGTTTTAAGAGTCAAATGAGACATTTATTGAAAGTACTTTTTTTTTTTTGTACCGGGGATCTAACGTTGGACCTTGTGCTTGTGAGGCAAGCGGCGGAACCACTGAGCTAAGTCCCCAGCCCTATTGAAAGTACATTTAAACTTTGTCTTCTTGCTGTTATTGCCCTCTTGTAAAGATTTCAGAGCACAGAAGCATTGTGAAATTCATAAAAATTTAAAAGTAAATTTCTAAATTTAAAACACTATTTTATGATTCCCTTTGCCCCACACTATTTCACTCCTTAAGTCTGAAGATTATACTGCAGCCCTAGATTATATTCAAAAAATATATCACTGAGCTAGTGGGTACAGCTCAGTGATAGAATATGTGCTTAGCATGTGCAAGGCCCTGGGTTCAATCCCTGGCACTACAAAGACAATAGAGAAAAACAATATCAAAGTTATGAAATTAGGTGAAGGATGAATCTGCACAAATGTTAAAAGAGCAAATATTTAAAGATATTATATAAATCGGAAGGGAGCAGATGCAAAGCTAAATAAAACACAGTCCTTGTGCAGGTTATAGGGTGCAGACTGACCAGGCAGCTAGAGGGCATAAAAACTGCTTTCCAAATTTAGATGGCAATTTTATTTTTTTATTTTTTTTTATTTTTTATTTTTTTTTGGTACCAGGGATCGAACTCGGGTCCTTGCGCTTGCGCAGCAGGTGGCGAAACCACTGAGCTAAATCCCCGACAAGATGGCAATTTTAAATGTGGTACAGCATGTCAGCTACTCTAGAGTGTGCTAAAGCCCAGTGCTGCTGACTGAGCATCTGAGCAGGTGACCGGGCAGTCTCCACAGGGTCATTTTTCTGAAAGAAGGAGTTGCAAGGTGGGGAAGTGTCAGTATTGGACTCCAAGAAACTGAATTCTGTTTCAGATCCTTTACATAGGGCAGGTAGTTAATCTTTCTAAGTCTTGGTTTCTTCACCTACGAGATAGGGGTAATTCCAACTTGTGGAGGGGGTTGAATGAGATAGTATTTGTACAACACTTAGTATTTGTAAAACCAGAAAATACTGGCGCTCATGTGATCATTCTTATCCACCAGAGACTTAGCTTCTCAGGGAAAGAAACTGGGTTTCTTCCAACTTTGTATTCCTAGTCCCTAGCAGTCACTGACATTTAGTAATGTTTGCTAAATTAACATAAAATAGAATGTGACCACTGATAAAAACTCATTGCACCAATGAAAGCAATAATATGTAAATATAGACTATTGGGAGAAATACACTATATTACTTGGAGTGTATTATTCGGACTATATTGTTAAAAATTAAATAAAAGTAAACATTGCACTAATTGGTCCTGACTTATCTCTATTATGACTGTTGTTCTATTTTAGATCCCTAATGCCAAACAAAGAGCCCCTCCTTATCAAGAATAATCCTATTCAAGTTGGTCCCATTTCAAAAGTCCTCCCTAGACTCCTAATCACCCTGTTGACACCCAGTTTCTCTCCTCTCTTTCCCTTCCAGTCTGTTGGAAAGAGTTGTTAATAATTGGCTTTCTTAGTCTCTTGAGCTCCTACTTAGACTCCTCCTACTCAGACTGTGTTGTAACGCTTTTCATTCCTTTTATTTGATCTTTATGTAGCATTTCCCATGAAAGTCTCTTCCTGAAATAGTGCCCTTCTTTAGTTTCTGAGACTGTCCCAGGGTTCCCTCCTTCCTCAAAGTTTCTCTCTTTCTCTCCTTTGCTAGTTCCTCTTCCTTCAAAGGTTGATGTTCCTACAGGCTTGGTACTTTTTGTACTATACCATCTCTGGAATAATTTATAGAGCATTGTGGCTATCTAGTGTTTGAAGGGTTGATAGAGTTCTCTGTGAAACCATCTGAGCCTGATGCTTTAATGGGGTATTTCCTTTATAACTTTCTGTATTTCTTCTATGGAAATTAGTTTGTTTAAGATTTTTAATTTTGAAGGGTAAATTTTGGAGACCTGTATTTTTATTTTAAAAAGTACACCTTTTATCTGGGTTTTCAAGTTTATTTGGTAGATATCTATGAAGTGATTTTATAATTTGTCAATTTTTTTTTCTGTTTTTTCTGTTATGGCCTCTATATCATTTCTTGTTACTTTTGTGCTTTCTCCCATTTTTCTTAATCAAGAAAAATAGTATAACAGAAGTGGGTGTAGCTCAGTGGTAGAAGGCTTTAATTTACCCTACCAAAAAAAGAAAAATAGTATGTAGTGGTTTTGTAGTTGTTTATTTTGTTTTTATAAAACTACAAACATTTGGATTATTAATTACATCTATTTAAAACTTTTCTTCCTCATTTTCTTCATTTACTTTTTTTTGGGGGGGGGTACCAGGGATCGAACTTGGGACCTTGCGTTTGCGCTTTTGAGGCAGGTGCCAAAACCACTGAACTAAAGCCTCGCCCCTCTTCATTTACTTTTGCCTTTATTGTTTTCTTCTATGTACTTTATTTTGTTTTACCTTTTGTTTTTTTTTTTGAGCCAGGGTCTTGCTATGTAGTCCAGGTTTATCTTGAACTCATTATGGAGCCCTGGTGGGCCTCCAACTTCTGATAATATGCCTGCCTCACCCTCCTGAGTGCTGGGATTTATGGGCATGTGTCACCACACCCAACTTACTTTATTATTTTTAATTGTTTTCCTAACCTTGGAAAGTTTAGAGCCGTGAATTTTCCTCTGATCACTACTTTAAATACATCTATCTCATTGAACCTGATATTTG